TTCTATGTCTGAGCAGGGGTTTGGGGTCTGGCAGCTCCTGGGTGCAAGGGTTGGGACCACTGTGGTGGAGGAGGAGGCCACCTCCATGCCTTGCAGCCTGGTGTTTGGAATGCTTACCTGAGAAACAGGTTCAGCTCTCCCCAAGGAGAAGGGCTTTCAAATCCCCTTTTCTGGAGAGCTCCCAGGTACAAACTCCTCTGGTGCTTGCCCCAGGCAGTCCAGCACACAGCCATGGGGCAGAGCCTGGCATCCCAGTGGGGAGGGGAAACCAGCAGTCTGAGTGATGTTGGTCACTTAGGCTCAGAGCAGAGATGGACTCAGGAAGCTGGTGAGATGTTTAAGTGTCTCTGCAGGAAGCAGTAAGGCTCCGGGGGGGCTCTGGGAACACAACCCAGACCTCTCTGGAGGGGAAGTGCCACCACCAGTGAGCAGTGGCCAAGCACAGCTGGCACCTGGCAAATGTGAATGCGAGGCTTGTTAGACTGCGCACAGACTGCCGATTGTAACACAAACCCTGTTCAATCAAAGCCTGGTAGCATCCCCAGAGGTTTCCCAGACAGATCTGTAGTGCTTAGCCCCCCCCATCAGCTAGTCCCAGGATACCAAGGTGGGCATCCACCTCCCTTCTCTCTGCTCCATGTTGCCCCAGCCTCCCCAGGACTGTTTGCTGCTGGCACTGCAGAGGTGGTGGCTGCTCTTGGACTCCCTTCAGAGAAGGTTTCATGGTTCTGGGTGACTGGATCCATGTTGAGCCTGAATTCCATCATGCCGTGGGGTTTTCTCACATTCAGTCTCATGAGTGAAGCTGCAGACCAGAGTTGTAGCCTGAAATAGTTTGAAAGGGGCAGCCACTCACATGGCCAGCAAAAGGAACAGAGGACCTGGTCACACAAGGGTCCATGCAGCTCTGGGGTGTTAGGGACATGGTTTTTTGTAGTGCTACAGTGGTGGGAAGGCAGCTACAGGGATTTTGAGGTGGTGGGGTGCTGGCTGTCTCTGAAGTCAGCAGGAGTTAGGTAGGTGTTGCTGGGACCATCACTGAGCTCCCAAGTGCTTTTAGTATTGGTGGTTATTATTCAGAAGCCTGGAGAGGGATGGAGACTTCTGAAAGCCTCGTGACTCTTGAGTGCTATTTAACAGAAGGATTTAAAGCCTGCCAAGTCCTCTCCCCCAAGCAGACAAGCAGACAACCTTGGCTTCTCATGCTCTCTGACATGCCCACTCCTCCTTACTGAACTGCAGTAACTTGCTTTTTCTTTTCTTTTCCTCTAGCTCCCAAAATGGAGAGGAAGGTGGAGCCTGGCCCAACAACCAGTTTGACACGGAGATGCTCCAAGCTATGATCCTGGCTTCAGCAAATGGTTGGTCTCTGTTGCGTGTGGGAAAACCACAGCATTTGGTCTCACTCAGACATGTCAGATGCTTGCTGTCAGATAAGATGCTGGTGGCACTTATGTATCTGGGTTAACTGGGGTGGCTTCAAAAGTCCTTCTTCAATTGCTGGTGGAAAAGCACTCCTGTGTTACTCTGCAGAGGAGAGGGGTCGGAAAGGATTCAGACAGAAGAGATACCAGATAGCCATCAGCATCAGGCATGCTGTAGGCAGGGGGACCTCTTCCACCCAAACTATATTATCTGTGTGCTGGACAGATCGTTATCTGGCTTCTGACAGGGTTGTATTACATGAAAGAGCCAGTCTTGAGCTGTGTTGTAAGCTACTTTGTTACAGAAGGTCACAGTCAATGAAATGTCTTTTGTGTTGCAACTTGCCTTAAGGCGAGGAGGTCAGAAGGCTGGAAGATTTGCTGGGCGAGGAATACAGTAAATGCCTGACTTAATAACCCCAAAAAGCCTCGTGCCCAGAGACGCCGGCATGTGCTCCCTGCTCATGCTGGGTCCCTCCACGGAACCACTGGTCTTGCCAAGGTTTGCCCTTGGAATCTATACAGTTGTAATCACTAGGGTTTGGTTTGGGGTTGTTTCGGGTTGGTTTGTTCTGGTCTATGGCAGCGCCGTGTGGAAGTGGTGGGCAGAGAAGCATATTCCTGTGCATCCGTGGTCTCCATGGCTTTATATAAAAGAAGTGCAGTTATCACTCTGTGCAGCACTCTGGATAAAGAGGCTGGTTTTCATGCAGCCTTTATTTATAAATACCTCCAAGCGTTTTCCCCCTTGATTTAAAAATAGAAGTAACAGCACAGCCATAAAACCCTGTGTAAAATGCTTAGGATATTTCCTTTGAGCTGCTAGGAGAGAAGGAATGTGGGGGAGGAGGGATGGCTTTGGTGTTGCTTTCTTGGAAGGCTGAACTTTGCCACTCTGCAGACACGGCTGCCGTGGCTGGGAAGGAGACAAAGGTCTTGGGCAAGGGAGTTGTTTACACTTAGGGGAAAGAAACAATGCAAAAATGTGTCTCTGCCCTGAAAAACGAACATGGAGAAATAGCCTCCGGGGTTGCATATGGTTATCATCACCCGGTGCTTCCAAATCCGGTTTCCTTGCTCACAAATAAAGCAGTTTTTCTGACTGCTGCTCCAGCAGTCCCTGGGATCAGAGGGCTGAGCAGGTCCCTTCCAGGTTAAGCACCAACTTCCACATAGCCCTGGGCCCTGTTGCAGCAGATCTCCCCCAGTCCCCAAGTTTCAAACAGTCCTAACCTTTCCCACGCTTCAGTCTTTCCAGGGGGTTAACTTAAATCAGATCCATCAGCTAGATAAGGGCTTTCCCTGCTGCAGCCCCAGGGAGAGGATGGCTCTGCACTCCATCCTTCTCATGCCCTTGCTGGCCCCTTGCTGCGCTGGCTGGATGGCTGGACAGATGCATGGATGGAGACACAGCACAAGCTTTTTCCACCAGCACAGTGTTTTCATGTCTCTCCTGCTCTCAGTTTCCCCCTTTCCTGCTCTCGGTCATTAAGGTAATAGTGTTGATTGGAACATGCTTTGATTAGGGGCAGTGCTAATTACCCATTAAGCTTTGTGCTGCCCATCCTTACGTAATGTTTCCTGCCATTTAAATAATCCTTATTGCATACTGTCACCTGCTGACCCCTGTTTCAGCTCCAAGGTGGCAGTGGGACACAGTGACACTGGTGATGGCACTGCATGCCCTTCGTTCACCCGCTCCTCGGAGCGTGAGCTGCTCCTGCACAGAGCAGTTGATGCTACACCGAGCAGAGACCACCCAGGAGGCAGAAACTCCACTGATGCTTCATGATCCAGGGATGCTCCCCAGAAAGGGCTGGTGATGCCCTGCCTGCATCCTTACCCTGGGGGTGTGTGTGGTGTGTGTCATTCTTTCCTTCAGCAAGAGGCAGAGCTGCCATGCCAAGCCTCTCTGCTGAGCCAGTTGCTCTGGTGACTAAATCATTTGCCCAGTGGTTAAATCACCCTCCCAAGAAAGAGTGCCTGGGGTGCTGGTTTCTCCCCGCAGGGCTGCCACCCTGCTGTAGGGCTTCTGTCTCCCTTCCTGAGCTCCCTTACCCTGGATCTTCCTCCTTTGGAGCTGGGAACAACAGGAAAAGCCACTGTTTTGAGCCCTCTAAAGGGGCAGGGGCAGGGGCAGCTGCTAAGACAGATCAAGGACCGCAGATGCTCCAGGACACCAGACACTAAAGGGCAGACATCCTGCCCTTAAAATACTCTGGCTTCCAGCGAGAATTTATAGGCTTGCCATGAGATGGTGGAAGAGCAGACGGAAAGGCAGCCCTAGGACATCCCTCTCACCAGCTCTGCTGCCTGCAGGCAGAGGCAGACAGGCTAAATCGGGTTCTCCTGTAAGTCCCAACAGCAGCTGCAGCAGCCCATGCTCTGGGGCTGCCCCCGTCTGGCTTCACCTCCCCTCTGCCCACGAGGGTGATGGAGCCGCTTGTGGGTTATTTTTGCCCAAGCCTAAATTCTTGTTTTCCTCCTCAGGACTGTTTGGGATAATGGCTGGCTGCCGGTAAAAGCTGAGGCTAACCTTTCCAGCAACAAGAGCTGAAGTGCCCTGCTTGGCAAGCTCGGCTCATTTTATAAACCTCTATTGTCCCTGTTCCCTCTTCTTTTCAGCCTTAATGTCAATGTTACCTAGAAACAACCCTTTGCTCTTACCCTGGAACAACTGGCAGGCCTGGGAACTTCACAGGCAGCTTTTTCCCCCTGTGAAAGCTGTGCTTGAACTACAAACTAGTTCATGGGGACGAGTTGTCCTGGATGCTGTTGGCAGCCCGCAGCCTAATCACTGCCATGGTGCAGATGGGATAGTCCAGGGGGGAAGCAGGGCTGCAGTACCCAGTGAGGATGGCACAGGAGAAGGTGCCCAAGCCCCCAGCAAGTCTGTATCCAGGTGGGGAAACCCGGAAAAAAGATAAATCCCCCCCTGCTAAGAGAGGCGGGTCCTGATGTGCCTGGCCTGATGGCACATCTCCAGCCATCCCATCCCCAGTCCTGACACCCTGACGGGTGTGGGATTGAGTTGGTTGTTAATGAAACTGGTTGCTGAGGAGGCGAGTGAGGATTAGCGATAAAGATAACTCACTGTATCTGCACATCTCCTCCAGCCCAAGGTCCTCAAAGCTCCACCAGCTCTGGGACTCATTTAATGGGGACTGTAGAAAAATTCTCCTGAATGCTTCTGCAGCAGAAAGAAAAACGGCACTTCCCCACAGTGGTGGGCTGTGTTTGTACACCCTCCTTCCTGCGCGTCCCCCGGCCTCGGAGCACAATATCCCGCCTGTTTTCAGTCTCGCTCTGTGTTTTCCTCTGCCTGCTCCAGCAGAGCAGCTGTAACTTTTCCAACTGCAGTTGCTTGATGCTTCCGACCTCTGCAAGGGGGATTGTACACAGCAGTATTTCACGGGCCGGTGGGATGTGGCCCAGGTTTTTGTCTAGCTTTCTGGCTGGCTTAGCCACCTCCGTCTGCTTGGGGGAAAGCAAAGGCAACACGGAGGTGTGCACAGATCTGATCTGGAGTGAGGAAAAACACGAGGGGACCAGCCCACGGCTTCTGCTCATTGTTTTTCTTTATCCCTGAGATCTCCTCTGCCTGTGAAAGGGCGAAGCAGCAGCCTCAGACTCTGCCTTGAGCCTTTCAGGTGCCCTTGCTGGGTCTCTCCAGCCTCCCAGGAAAGCGTGCCCATAGCCACATGAAGCAGTTCAAAGGCTGAGATCAGATCCCTAGGATTCAAGGCAGAGGCAGGGTTTTAGCAAAGCGTTGCGGCGCGGGGCTGAGCTCTGTGCGGGCAGTCGTGCTGGAGCAGGTCGTGCAGTGGCTCAGAGCCACAGCATCGCTTTGGTCTGTCACCCCCCCTGTGCTCCTTTCTCCCGCTGCCTCCCTGCATCCCCATCTGATCTTCACCTTCCAGCATCCTGGGGGGGTGGCCGTGTGCCCTTCCCCACCCCCTGCGCTTGCTCTTTCCGTGCTGGGGCTTTGCAACGCGACAGAAATGAATTTGCCTTCCCCTCCCCCTGCTCCCAGATCTGGACCATCAGATGTGCTTCAGCATTGATTTGCTTCATGCTTGGCTTCCTAGAGCTGCTTCGCAGTACAGCAGGGAGGGATTTTCTTTCTCCTCTCATGTGTTCTGCTCCCTGAATAAACCTGGCTGGAGAAATATGGGGGCAGGGTTGTAAATGTAGTGGAAAAAAAAAAAATATTGGATTTCCCTTCGTGCATTCCTAATGGTTGTGGCTGTACAATATGTTTGTAATGGGATGCTTTCAGAGGGGGAGGGTGTTTTTCTGTGGAGGCAGCATCCGGGAGGGGGGCAGAGCAAGCAGCTTGGGCAGGCAGGGGGGGACAGGCAGCCCCATGGCTGCTGAGGGCAGAGGAAAGGTTACCCTATCCCAGCCAACCTCCAGCCCCAAATCCCAAACCTCTGGTCATGATGTGAGATGGAAACAAGGGATTTTGGTGCCGGCTGCGCTGTGCTCCTCAGCACGCATGTTGCGGCCACCCCATGGAGCACTGAAGGGTAGTGAGGGGTTGTGGCACCGAGGTCTGGGTTTGACACCCAGTGAGAGCCTTTCGGGGCTGCTGGGCCTTGGGGTGGGCTCTGGCCAGCACTAACGACCTGTCCTTTTTTGCCACCCTTTCTGGCATTCCCCACAGAAGCTGCTGATGGCAACTCGACCCTGGGCGGTGGGACAGGCACCATGGGGCTGAGCGCCCGCTATGGCCCCCAGTTCACCCTGCAGCACGTCCCCGATTACCGGCAGAACGTCTACATCCCGGGCAGCACCGCCACCCTCACCAACGCCGCCGGCAAGCGCGACGCCAAGAGCGCCGGCTCCGCAGGAGGCAACAAGAAGAAATCCGGGAAGAAGGAGAAGAAGTAGAGAAGAAGAAGGAGACCTTAGAGCTACAGGGCAGCCGGCTCCAGCACTCCCCCCAGACCACAGCCCAGGCCGGAGGACGAATGTGAATTTTTTGTGATGCAAAAAGTAGGAAACGCTGCGAATGTATCTCGTCATCATCAGAGCTAGGAGCAGAGGCTCGCTGCTGTTAGATCTCATGATGAAAACCAATCTGGAAGCTAAACTGAACACAAACAAGTGCCCTGTGAATATTTGCTAATGTTTTATACAATCCCTCGGGTATTAGAATATGCAAGGGCGGAAGGTATTCTGCCACGTCTTTGAATCCAATTTGCTCCCAGATAGTCTGAGAAGGGCACGAGGCTTGTGCTCGGCTTTGCCCAGTGTAAATAATTTTAATGTGGATCTTCTAATTTATAAACCTTCAATCATTTTTTTTGGAAAGGAAAAGGCAGTTCCTAGCTTAGAGCCCATGTTCCAGATCTTTGCTCTTAAACTTTCCATTAGTAAAATTCACCCTCAGTTAGTGATAGTGATGGATTTGTTGCTGAGAAGTTGGTAGGGAGTGCTTCAGTTCCTGCTTACCTGTTACATGAAAAAAAAAAAGTTTTATACTGCATATAACATGAGTCAAAGGGAAAATGATAAAGCGGCATCCTAAACATTCATTTAAAAAGAAAAAGAGTGCAAACACCAATGGCCTGAAATATGAGACAAACCCCCCACCCTCCTGATGGCTGAGAGGTAGGGAATTCAATAAGGGGCGTGCCAAGGTGTGCGGCAGCTGCCCCAGCGGTTCTGGGGGTCTCCGAAGAGCAGACACATCTCATCCCGTCTTTGCAGTAAATATTTATATGTACAGTCAATGTTCTTCTGGAATTAAAGCTGAGAGTCTCGGTCCCCTGTGGCCAGGCAGCCATCTGCTCCCCACTGAGGGGACCAGGGGACAATGCTTCATGTTTCTGCACAGTGTCTGCATGCGCATCCTTCACCCCACGCCTGCACTAGCGCAGTTAGCTCCACGGCCCCAGAGAAGTCCTCGCATGCCCACGCAGCGTGGTGTGAACGTGCCAGCGGCCGCCCGGGCCTCCGTGCAGGGGCTGCCTTTTGGGGTGGGGTGGGTGGGATTGGTCAGGTGGGATGGGGAAACTCATTGCTTCTTATTGGAAGTCTACACCCCAAATAACAGCCTTATTTGGGGTCTGCACCCTAAATAAGGGCGTTATTTGGTGTCTCTGAGAGGGATGAGATCGGCAGAGCTGCCAGCACATGGCTTTGGTGCAGAGTTGGTGGCCGAGTAAGTGACAGTTGGTTTGGTGGTGCTTGGGGACCAGACCTGGAGAAGGAACCCAAGAGCTGGGGGTAAGCATGGGGTAGTGCTGCAAAGCCAGCAAGGGGCAACACGTTGTGTGGGTCCACACTGGGCCAGCCCGGAGGTGATGCTCCCGCTGGCTTTGGGCTTTCCACCCCACGGAGGGTATTGAAGGATGAGGAGCAGTTTCGCCATGTGCCCATCACCCTTGCACCGGGACGGCTTCCCCTATCAAAGCAGCTCTGAGACCCCTCACTGAAGCAGAGGGGTATAGCCAGAGCGAGGAGAGGGGCTGTGGGGTGGCCAGGAAGGGGTCACGTCAGGTTTTCCAGGGAGGGTGTGTTGTTTTTTTCCCTTTTTAATGACTAACACGTAACTCGCCTGAGCAGAACCAGCCCTCTGGGCCAGGCTCCGGCATGGCAGCCGTCACCCCACTGCTACCCCCTTCCCCAAACCCAGGGCAGCAGGAGCATCCGCCGTAGTTCATCCAGATCTGGCCACCTCCAGCGCTGGCTGCGCTGGGAGCAGTTCCCACCCTGTCCCCTGCAGCTGCCACCTGCCCCCCCTCTAGAAATGCTGTAGCTGAATCATAGTCTTTATATTTCTTTTTAATCTGCAATCTGAGGTAGCGTAGTGAGTGTCGTGTATTTAGTGGCGTGTTATTTTTAATCTCGGTAACTAACTTGTGGACACCAGTATTTTCAATTTTCTCTGTATCTTCTTTCCATGTGGTCTGTGCTCCGAGTGTACGTGAAATGAAAACACGCTTGCCCTTTCAATGTGTCTAATATTGAATTATACTTATATATTATATATATGCTTATACCCTTCTTATACCCATGTAGACCAATGTCGATGTGTTACACGCAAGTTTTATACTCTAATATTTATATTGCTTTTTTCTTTGGGAAAAAAAAATAAATAAAATGGTTTCTTCTGAATAAATGGTGTTTATTCTCCTGGGAAGAGCTGGGCACAGATAGGGCCTGTCCATCCCAATGCTGCCGCTGTGCCAGTGTGGGGTGGTTCAGCCCCAGCTCCAGCAGTGGGGATGCTTTTGGGGCACCCCGGGGTCCCCAAAGCCTTTAGCAGAGGGTGACGTGGCCATGGGTGGCATGAACATGCTCCTGGCTGGCATTTTTGCAGGAGGGCAGGGCAGACCCTGGCACACCCCGTGGACCGTGGTGTCCGCAGCTACAGCC